CTTCTGGTTGCCGTTCTGGCTTCTGTTTCGATTGCTGTTCCGCTTGCTCTTGTAGTCATTCCGATTTTGGCTTCGTGACTTGCCGCCGAAACCGTCCTTGTAAGGATGCTGTCGAGCTTGATTGGACGAAGGTTTCAGCTTAAAGTTGGCGGGAAGCACCGTTCGTGCCTTTACCTGACCATTTTGTAGGTGGCGCTGTAGAACATAGCAGTCGACAGTATCGTGGTTGGTGCGCAGGCAGTATGTACAGCTCATCGTTGAGATGAGAGCCTTGCTCTCTTGATAGGGAGCTTGAACCAAGGTTGGTTCAGGTGCTAAAGCCTGTAGGGCCTGCTCGTTTCGGGTTTCCCTCGATTCGGGTGTTCCTTGTTTGAGCGTGTAGCGGTTTTTCGCCAGTTCATGCTGCACCTTGGCCTCGATGTGACGCTTTAGCTCTTCGTAGGGAATGAATTTCCTGCTACCCTTCCAGACCGATAGTTGCTGCTTCCATTTTCCAGGTAGCGCATGGTACAAGTAGAGTGACTTCTGTTCGTCACTGAGCACACTGTTTGTGGCTTCGGAGGCAACCTTCATGGCAGATTCGATGTCAATTATGAACCCCGTAAGGTCTGAACCTTCTTCATACCTCAGTGCCATCAGGTATGATAGCACATGATACGGGTCGCCGTGGATGGCAGCACCTTCGTACTTGCTACAGATCGTCTGGAAGATCTCAAACGCAGTAGTCTTGTCCTTGACCATGAGAACATGTTGGTCATCGATGGTCTTGATAAGGAAAGCTTTTGCTTTTGCCTCGTTGAGTCGAAGCTTTTTCGAGCTCAGCCTCTGGCTTTTAGCCCTCAGCTTCTCTGCTCGCTTCAGTTCATCCCGCTTCTGAGCAGTGAATGACTGGATAACGGGGGGATTCTCCTGCCCCATTTCCACATCGCCGTCGTCTCCGGCTGTGGGTGCATCCGAACTTGCGGAGCTGGCATCAGAGGAGGACTCGCTCGGTGAGGAGCCCACTATTTCGTCGGCCTTGGGAGCACCGGCAGCATCAAGCGCGGCGGACATGTCGTTCATGTCGGACAGTGCCGGGTTGAGCTCTTCATCGGAGTCGAACTCGTAGTCGGAGTCACCGGTGTAGTCGATACGCTCGACGTAGCCGAGAAGGTTCTTTCCTTCGAGGGCGGCAGTGACGCGGGTCTTCCAGATGATGAAGTTCCGGCCATTGAGGCGCGGAAACTCGCGGTCGTCAGCGGTGGAGGCTTGCGTTGAGCTCATAACCTATTGAAGGTGAGGCGAGGAAGGTGGAGGAGCTTGAGTAGAAGGAAGAAAAAAGAGATGTGATTGAATTTTATGAGTCTGTCTTCAGAGAGTTTCCTGGCACCATTGATTTATCTTTCCTGTAAAAGGTGATGTATCGACTTATGCAGGATTGGGTCCAGAACATATTTTGTATGGTAAGACATTCTGTACAATAACTTGTACGCTATGTCACCAATTAGGACACATCATTGACACCTTCCTCCAGCATGAGATTTGCTTTCGCTGCCCGTGCTGGCTATTATTAATGGCACTCGTTATTTAGCCAGACTGGGTAACAAGAGACAGTACAATTACACCAGAATACAACCGATTAGCATGCCCGAATATGCCAGACTCAGGAAGAGCCGGACGTGTCATCAGTTGACGTGTCTTCGGAGTATACGTATAACCGGATGGCAGTGTGTTGGCTTTGAAACTGAACCCCGCAAGACGGTCAGCATCTAACTCTCAAGACAAAGTGCAGCTGGAGGTAGTCAACGCATCAAACACACTAACAAAAGACCAAATCATTGAAAAACTAGTTGCATTAAATGCACATGCACAGGTACCGATAGCGCAAATACTGTAGCTCCTTCCGACTTAGCAGATATAGGTTTTCAGCACCGGCAAATATCTCAAAAGCTAACAGCATATACATGCCACAATTGTAGCTATCAACCTGCACTCCAAGCTCGCTCGTGTATGGTTGAATTCGGTATTTTCTTGTAGCGAAATCTGGCAGCAATAAGGCCTCTCGGTACTTCCGGTTCGAATCCCATGGCCGCTCATCGGTCACCAATACCCTTCGAACGGCAAAAGATTCCACAGTAGTAGGAGCATCACTGGCGTTTTCGAACTCTATCGACGACCGTACAGACGACAGGACCCATCGCTGATGCACCAGTTGAGTCGGGATAACAGTCTCCTTGTTTAGTGCTCTTCTAAGAAAGAAGACGTGTCGACACGGCAATAAACGTGTACTCATAAAGAGACACGAGCAAGTCCAGTCGTGAGTCGTAATAGTGTACTCTGCGTCTACCTCATCGAGGGCGTCTTCATCGGGGGATGTACTCTTCACAAAGTACACACCTGGCGCTCTCTCGGAAAAGGCGTAAGATGCACGATCAAGTGCGTAGCAATACTGATCGTGTATTAACTCGCATGCATGTTCACTGACGAGGTTTGCAACCAACGTCATTTCGCGATCGTAACCAACATGCTGGACATTAACCTTCTTGTACACCTCATCCATAAATCGTCGCTCTTGAAGACTCTGGTAATACATAATCGACGCTATGCATTCGTCCACTGCCATAAAAGAGTTTACCCACTCCTTCAACTGCTTCCACGAGGCCTCCAACCTGTTGTTGGTGTTATTACCAAGCGTCACGGTGTTTTGGCGCTTGTGTGCACACCACAGCTCGCGACATTTGTCCCAATTCTTAATGAAATAGGCGACAAAAGGGTGTCGGACGGATTCAAACGGTTCCACTATTGTGTTCGTAGTTTCACAGCGTTCAGACTCGGATGTGGTATGATTCCGCGCTTCTGTCGCCACATTCTGCCCGACCGCCACAATATTCTGCCCAACTGGTGCCAGATTCTGCCCAACTGGTGCCAGATTCTGCCCAACTGGATCTGAAGTCAATTGCCCAGATCGGGGGCGCCCCATTCCGCACACGTGCAACATGTACCGAAAGTGCTTCATATACTCTTTCTCGGTCTTCGCATATACAAGCAGGTTCATCAGACCTCGTAGCTGATCCTTTTCCCACGTGTTACAACCGTAGTCTGCTGACGCGATTTCCTCCCGCAAATACTTTAAGACGTGAAATTGGCAGAGCAGGGTAGTGACGTCAGGGAAAGCAGTCTTCAGTACCGATAGTTCCGTGAAGTCCTTGTCGATCAACACGCAGCGTAGTTTTGTCCAAGCCGGATTGCTACTCTTAAATTCTTCAAGCGCCGTCAGTAATGTCGGCCATCGCTCGTTCTGTAGTAACGCGTGCTGCACAAATTGGCCTTTTCCAAAGGTATCGTGAGCCATAAAAGAGAAAACTTTGTACTTTGAACGGTTTGTTCCGTGCGTCGCGTCAATGAGAAGAACTTCCGGAAATTGTTTGTAGACCGATCGCATGTGTTTAGTCTGTAATGTAATACATGTTGCAATTTTCTAATACAAAGAACATGTTAGATGTTATGAATATAATGTAAATGATTCACTAAATACACATACCTTTTCCCCGACATCGTCTACGAATATACGACCCACATTCCCGACATTATCTCCAAACTCGGCCATCCACTTCTTCAATCGTTTTGCGCTCGAACTTGGGCCGTTTCTGTTTTCACGAGCTTTCAGCTTGCTCACGAGGTTGTGAACATCCTGTGGCTTTGGATTACTATCTGAATTGTCTCTGATAAACTTCAGAATACTGGTCTTCTTTGCTCCAGCCTTTCGAAGCTCATTCACCGTCCGTAAGGCACTGTCATCGAGAGTAATCCGGTTGGAAGGATGACTCTTGAATGCATACTCGTTCAGTGAGTGATTGTGCTCGAGCCGGCACTTCGTCACTTTGAGCACAAACGTGTGTTCAGCTTTGTTAATCTCTTGAACGCATACATTCAGCTGAAATAATAGTAACAAAGTTAATGCAAACAGACACGGTTAGTGGCTGAGCTTACACCGGTGATGCACGATTCATCCCAACTGAGCCCGATTATGCCAGATTGGGTTTATTTCGCTACAAACCAAAACTATAGTAATCGCATACCTGTGCTGAGCATCCTTGGGCCCGTGTCTCCTGACGCGGCCGCTTGCTTGTGGCTTGCGATCGGTATGTGCCGTGGTGTGTACACACGTACGTCTTCGCGTACTGATCCCACTCGGCCGGGATTTTAGTCGCCGCGGAGCCCTGAGCATCTATCCTAGCATTCCGTACAGCCACTGAAGTGTTTGTTCTCACTCGAAATATCTAGCAGACAAACAAAACGTGATGAGACGGTATAGACAAACGCAACAGATAACTTAATAATGTACCTGGAGTGACTGCGCTTGGTACAGCGCTAGATAGGCCTCGAAGTCCTTCCACGACTGAAATTGTGTCTCTTGTGGTGGCGAGGCGAGGATAGAAATCTGACCCGATTCTTCACTTGCGCTACTGGTTACCGCCTCCGCCTCAGCAGAAGTCGGGCTCGACACTGGCTGCCAGTCACTCACGGAGCCGTCGGAGTCGTTGCTGGCGCTGTCGCTGTCGATACCCTCCAGTGCCAGGGGGCGCTTCTGTGCGCTGCGTGGCCGTGGTGCCGTTTTCGTGCGTTTGGAGCCACGCGTTTGCTGGAGGGGGAGGATTTTTTGTGTGGGAGGGGTATACGCAGAGTATACGCTGTACCGAGTTCGAATATGGAAGATTTGAGCAAATCCTAGCAAATCCGAAGATAACACAAGATTTGCTACGAGTGAGATGCTCCCAGTCTGGCAAAATACTCACTTCCATTATTAATTGGTAAACTGAAGCTGGGAGCACGAGCTTCTGCGAGTCGATATTGCGTGGGAGGCATTTCTCTTATCAAGGTTGAGGGCACCAAGTGTATTTAGACATTTTCGACTGCCAGGGAGTCAGTACTTGGGTCCGACGACGTACATGTACATAGTCAGTGATTCTTGCTCTCCTGACAAACAAGTTTCACTGTTTTCCGGCAATGTATTTTGCGGTTTACCCCTTCACGAGGTACATGATGTAGCCTCCGGCCAGCGCTACGGCTGCGATAATTGCAAGCGGCTTCAATTGCCCTTTCACAACGAGATACGCCCCCTTAAGCCTTATATCCTTGTCCATCATCACATTGGCTTTAACGACGGCGGGGTTTTCCTTTACCATGGCCTTGAGTTTGTTGACAAATGGAATCTTCTGCGTCAGACTGCTGGTGATCCCTCGTTCCTCAACTGCTTGCTCTGTCGACGCCTTCTTGCTGTTCTTGAGATAAAACTTCACATTGCCGCCGGTGGAGTCCGTCGCTGAGGACTTGACTATAATGACACGATCAGCGCTGGCAAGGCGGCAACAGCATGCCGCAAGAGTGAAGACTACCACGAGTAGAAGGCAGCGGGGACGCATCCGACTTTGGCTAGACTTATGCTAATGGGTGGGGCTCCGACTCAGAATGCAAGAGCTTTGCACCCACCAATCATCTCCTTAAGATCAGGTCTTCGTACATGGAACGGGGTGGTTGGTGGATAACAATTGCTTCAGAGACCTTCGTGACCCGAAACTTGACCACCAGAACTGCAATATCTTGACCAAAATGGCAAACCTCTATACAATATTTAACGTTAGGGAGTTGGAATAACCTATCTAACTACCTCGTCAAGCACCTGGTTCGGGTGCTAGCTCAAGGTTGTTGCTTGAAGTCTTTTAGTACCGGCGTCCACGGCCACCGCCTCCACGGCCACGGCCACCTCGGCCACGACCTGCACCACGGCCACCACCTCGGCCGCCGTAGCTCTGTGGACGCATCTGGTACGCTGACTGCTGCAGCTTTGGCAACGTCTTGGGGATCGAGTACGGGCAGTTCATGCCGCTTTCCTCCATCTGCGTCTCCAGAAGTTCCAGGCCGGCAATCGGCAGGTCAAAGCACGCACCCATCGCGTCCTCGGTCAGAGTCATCTGCTTGATATCCTTCGAGATTTCCTCCGGAATGTCGCGGTTCACAGCGTTCCATACGTAGCCCTTGGCTCGGATGAAGTTGGAGCTTGTGAACAACACCGTCACGTAGTCAGGGACACCAGACATAAGCGACGTGCGACGAGGAGGCTTCGTGTGGCCCGTAATGCAGGCCAACGCAGCGGCCAGACACTTCTCCGGCTCCATCGTCTCAAGCAGCTCCCTCGCCTTCTCCTGGAAGATTTCAATCATGGACGGGTCCACATTGTCGATCTCCTTCAACGCCTTTGCAGCTGATGCCTTGATCAAGTCCTCCTGGTCAGGTGGACCCTTCATGATGAACTTGTTGCCAATCTTGCGCTCAATCTGGTTGAGCTGATCACGCTGGCGGTTCGTGTACAGAGTAATACAGATACCCTTCTTACCAGCACGGCCCGTTCGGCCAGAACGGTGCACGTACGTGTCAACGTCGGCCATACCCGACATCTTACGAGGAGGCTCCGAGTTGATCACCAGGTCCACGTTCATGTCCAGCCCACGGGCGGCCACATCTGTAGCAATGAGTAGACGCAGACGGCCTTCACGGAAAGCCTTCATGGTGGTCTCACGCTGTTCCTGGGCGATATCACCGTGCAGAACCTGACAATCCGTCTTGATCTCAGGGTGTACAGCTAGCTCGTTGCAATCCTTCTTGGTCTCAGCGAAGATGATCGTACGAGAGTCCTTCTTAGCATACACACCGAGCAAGTTGGCCAGCAAAGTCGGCCGGCCCTGCCAGTGACACGGGATGGCAATGTGCTGCACGTCAGTAGACGCCTGGTCGTCCGAGTCCTTGACCAGGTTGACGTACTCGGCCTTCTTCATGTACTTGTCGGCCACATCCTTCACCCACTTGGGGATCGTAGCAGAGAACAGCAGCGTCTGGCGTTTACCGGTGCTCTCGTTCTTGACCTGATCCATGGCCGTGAAAACCTTCTGAACGTCCTCACGGAATCCCATTTCCAGCATCGTATCGGCCTCATCAAGGATGAGGAACTCGCAGTTGTGCAGACGAAGGTTGCCACGGTCAATGTGGTCAATAACGCGGCCAGTTGTACCCACTAGAATGTCTACACCGCTACGGAACGCGTTGTTCTGCGACTGATAGGAAGCTCCACCATAGATGCAGACGGTACTCAACGACGGACCCGTCAACTCGAACTCGGTGGCCACCTGTTTGGCCAGCTCACGTGTAGGAGCCATGCATACCACGCGAGGAGCACGACCACGCGCGCGCGGCCGCTTGTCTTGAAGTAGAAGCTCAATCACTGGCAGCGCGAAGGCCAGAGTCTTGCCCATACCCGTACGAGCGCGGCCCATGAGGTCCTTACCGTCCACGATCTTGTCGAAGGTCATGGCCTGAATTGGGAAGAGCGTGTGGATGCCACGGGCCTGAAGGTTCTTCTTAGTTTCGTCGCAGATGCGGAAGTTGTCGAGCGACGGGTTCTCCTCGCCACCCACGTGAGTGGCATTCTCGTTTTTGGCCTTCTTGGCCGCGGGTGCCTCCACTTCACTCTCGCCCGTCTCCTCAGCCGGGTCGGTATCGTTGTTCTCCTCGTCAGCCTCACGACTGCGCTTTTTGCTTTTCTTCTCTTTCTTCTCCTTTTTCTCCTTCTTTTGCTTTTTCTCCTTCTTGACGCTCGAGTCGGATCCCTCAGCCTTGGCCTGCTCCTTGGCCAGTTTCTTCGCCAGCTTAGCCGCCTTCTTAGCCGCCTTCTCCTCCTTGGTCAACACGGGCTTCGCTTCGTCAGACGCCATGGTTCGTAGCTGCGGGATGATCGTCAAGAGCTGCACTGAGCGCCAGTCAAACTGAACTCGCTGACGTCAAACGAGCCAGCTGGCAAACGATTGGTCGGAAAAATGAAAGTGGTGTACGCTACACACACTGAATCTTTGACGGTACGATGTACCACCAAAAGCACTTCACATCTTTCTAATTCCGAATATGTACACTTGGTGTACATTAGTTTCTTCCCATACATCCACAGGGCACCAAAGCGTCGCTCGGCCCCCCTCTTCATGGCGGAGCACTCGGCGCCCAGCGGCTTCTCGTTGAGCGAGAGCTCGGCCACGTGGCCATCGGGCGGTATCAACGACGGTAAGCGTCCTCCGTTGCCCACGTCCTTCCGGCCGGAGAAGCGCGGGCGCGCGGACAACGACGACCCACACGACAGCTCAACGCCCATGGATGTGAGCGGCCCAGGGTCCCCTGGGGGGCAGCCCGCACCCGCGCCCACGTCGGCCAACGATCTTCCGCACTTGGCTAGCTGGAAATCGTCCACGTCGTCCACGGACGGCGCTTCGGGCGACGTTAACACGGGCACATACACACGTGTTCACCTCAAGGTGAAGGCGCAGAGTCGTCTGGGCGAGACTGTGCACTGCTCAGGCTCATCTTTCGTCATGGGACACTTTAACCCGAACGAAAGCATGACACTCGTCACTACGCCCGAGGATTACCCGTACTGGACGACTGTCAAACCCATGCTATTGCCTCGTGGCGTACCGCATCAGTACATGTACGCGCTCTTCTCCGGTGGAGTCTTCAGCTCGTGGGAACAGATCGAACGCGAAAGAGTGCTGGTCCCTGAAGGGCGCGAGATGCTGGTCGTGGAAGAGTACGGTATATACGACCAGGACATGGAGCTCGTCCCGACGGGCGAACGCATTGAACGCTCGCTGGTCTACGAGCGGCGGAGAGACGAAAGTCCCGCAACTCCAAGACAGATCAACGCGTCCGAAGACATGACCGACATTCCAGCCACTCGGGACGAGGAATCGAAGGAGACAGGGGCCAGACTGGCGGCCCGAGTGGCTGAGGATAAGACCGAAGCAGACGCCAAGTCCCCGCCCAGCAGCGTTACAGGTTCTCCCAGTCAGAGGTTCCGACAGACGAACAAGCTGCAGAGCAGGTACAAACGATACATGCCGTCCAGTTATCATCCGTCCCCCGATGCGATGCTGTTCTTGGTCTGCTACCACTTGCCGGTTAAACTCAGCAAGTCTACAGAGGACGGAGCGTGGTCTGCAAAGTGGAATCGCGATAGTTTGATCTCCAGGAGTGACAATAGCATTGCAGAGAGTATGAGCACGACGTGGGTGGGCTGCGTGACGTACCATGCGCGTAGTGACCAGGAGGAACTGTCCGAAGACGACAAGAGCGAGATCACGGCCATCTTGGCTGAGATGAACTGCATCCCAGTGTTTATTGACCGTCAGCTGGCTGCGAACCATCACGGCGGGTACTGTAAGAGCAAGTTGTGGCCAATGTTCCACAACGTGGACATTCTGGACATTTACTACTCGATTTGGGACCGCGCAGAGGTGATTGAGTGGAAGGAGGAGCGTAATAACGGCGAGTGGTGGGAAGCCTATCAGACAGTGAACAGGTTGCTGGCCGAGCGTGTGGGAGAGCTGTGCAAGGAGAACGACACCGTGTGGGTACACGACTACCACTTGCTGCTGTTCCCGTCGTATTTGGCTAACGCGTGCAGGAGCGAGAACCGTAAAAGACCCAAGATGGTCTTTTTCTTGCACGTACCGTTCCCTACATCCGAAGTGTTTCGAGAGCTTTCGCACGGCACGCAACTACTGGAAGGCGTGCTGGACGTGGATATTGTAGGCTTCCACTCGTTCGACCACGCGCGTCACTTTCTGAATGCTTGCAAGCGGTTCCTAGGACTCTCGTATCAGTCTCGACGCGGTGGGAATCTCGGTGTGGACTACCGTGGCCGTAATGTGGTCATCACAATCAGTCACGTGGGTATTGAAACAACGTTAATTCGTGAGGTGCTGAACGACCCGAAGGTGCAGGAAGCAGCTCGCCAATTGCGTGAGAAGCACAAGGGAAAGGTCCTGATTGCAGGAGCAGATGTCTGTCAGAGACTGAGTGGCATCCCCTTAAAGATGCTGGCGTTCGAGCAGTTCTTTGGCAACTGTCCGTCTTGGAAAGATAAGCTCGTGTTTGTGGAGCGAGCGACGTTGACACAGACGCGGCTGGGCGACCAGAACTACAGCAGCAACGAGATCCGCAAGCTTGTGGAGCGGATCACCAAGGCGCACGGCCCCGAGTGCATCGACTACGAGGAGTCGTCTTCCCCTTTGACTATAGAGCAGCGCGTGACGCTGTGGCTCGCCAGCGACATCTTGATGGTCACGTCCATCCGAGAAGGACTCAACTTGAAGCCACTAGAGTTTGTATTCGCCAAGGGAGTCAACCCTGAAAATCCCCCTGGTGTGGTGATATTGAGCGAGTTTTCGGCCTGCTGTTGCGTCCTGAACGGAGCTGTGCGTGTCAATCCGTGGAATATCACAGGACTCGTGAACTCGTTGGACCACGCGTTGACAATGAGCAACGAGGAGCGATTAGGTCGTCGCGCAAGGGACTTGCCGTACATTACCAACCAACCCGCTGCTAACTGGACCAAGCAAGTGCTGTCTGTTCTCCATGAGGCGACGGAAAACCCGGAGGGTAATGAGGAATACACCAACATGGAGTACATGGACACGGAGATTGGTCGGTCTCATGTCATGCGTGTGGGCGATCGCTCCGACTTCAAGCAGCTGAACATTGACAAGGTGATGGCAGCGTATATGCAGTCCAAGCGACGTGTGTTCCTGCTTGACTACGGTGGCACGATTATAGCGCGTGAGAATATCGCCATGTACGTGAAGAAGGACTTCACTGCAGTGACTGGGAAGCGGCCGTCTCGTCGTATGATGGAGGCTCTGACCAACTTGACGAATGATCCACGCAACACGGTGTTTGTGGTGAGTGGCGTGACGAAAAAGAGTCTTACGGCGTCTCTGGGACACATCCGCGGTCTCGGTCTAGTGTCTGACAACGGCGCTCTGTACTCGTGGGCAAAGTCTATCGACATCGACAACACGGAGGACACGAATATGCAGGACGATAGCAACCCTACGGACCGTCACTGGCATCAACACAGCTTCAAGTTCGACTGGCGTCCAGTTCGAGAGGCGGTGGACCCGATCCTGAAGGTTTACTGCGCACGTACGAATGGGAGTGTGCTGCGATACGCCCAGCAGAGTATTGCGTGGAACTTCCGCTCGACGGACCCGGAGTGGGGGCTCTTGCAAGCTAATTCGCTGCAGAATGATCTCGAGGAAGTGATCCGCGATCTTCCAGTGAATATCATCCGCAAGAAAGGGCTGCTGGAGATCGTGCCCGAAGGACTCAACAAGGGAGTGGTGGCTCGTCAGATCTTGACTCAAGACGCTGCAATCAGCAACGATCATCCGGACTTTCTCTTCTGTATTGGAGATGACACCACGGACGAGAGTATGTTCAAGGCTATTTACGACTATTATGCAGAGCGGACGGAGGAGAGTGTCCATGGACGACATGGCAACGGCACTTATGAGGACTTCTTGGCTGCTGGTGATGAAGGTCCACTCCATCACGTTTTCACGTGTACGGTGGGTAAGAAGCCCAGCAACGCGCATCTGTACGTCAACAATGTGGATGAGGTGGAGCAGTTGCTGCAAGCGCTGAGTAAAGCTTTAGGCGAGGTGCGTTGACTTTGTTGGATCGAGGATCGATGAAGTTTCCTCACCGTGAGCTTGTGGTTTGATTTGCAGGGACGTCCTGCGACGGACAGCTGAACTAGCGATGATTATTGAGAAGCTCCGATTAAGGAGACGAGAGAGTGGATAAAAAGCAACAGGTCCAGAGGGACTACCTATCCGTTTTCGTCTTCAAATATGCAATTTTAGTCCATCTTGGTGCAACTCAACACAATTAAGTGCAACATAGTTGTGATAGAACAACATAAGCGTATATCTTGAGCATGCAGCCTACCGAGCAGGACGAGACGCCACCGCTGGACGTGGACGACGCTGGCGAGGACGAGGAAGAGGTGGAGATCTTCTCAGCAGATGCAGGACCTACTTCGCATGCTGCAGCGCCATCTAGCGACCGGGCGTCGTTGCTACCGCCGGCCCCACGTCGCTGCGTCTCCAAGGAGATGCTGGAGCAGATGCCGACGCTCAGTATCAATGTCTGTAACTTAAACAAACGCACCTTTACACTCAACTTTTAGGCTACGACTCATTATCTTACTCATGTATGTGTGTGTATCAGACTCGCTACCATGACGTGACCGTGCGCAAACCCTTCGGCTGCTTCCACCTGATGCAGCTCATCGAAAAGTCCATCCAGGTGGGGGCGCTCTTCTCGCCCAGGCTCTTCGTACCTAAGGAGATTTGGCAGCAGGACAGAGTCAAGCTAGCAGGCGTCCCACTTAAGGTGGAGGTGTTCCATCAGCTCAAACAGGGGCTCGAAAAGACCAGCGTGAGTCGCAGTGAAGGGTTCATAGTACAGTAAAGAGTCTGACGGGTGCTCTTCTTGTTGCTACTGTAGCACGCGCTGCCGCTGTCATCAGATACAGCTAAAGCTGCGTTTGTCAAGGAGCTTGACGCTCTGCTGGAGTTCGCAAGACAGGAGCGCGTGCACTTGATCCGGTCGTTCCCGTTCCTGCCTCAAGATAAAAGCCACGCTGCCCCGCAATTGACGCGTAGAGGAAGTAGCAGTGTGGTGAGTTATCGAGAGAGCAGAGCGTTTACAGTGGATTCTGTTGACATCGCTGTGTCTTTCCTTATAGACAGACGAAGGATCTGTCGACGCTCACTCGTCTGGGATCGGCAAGCTGACGAATTTGGCCTTCGGGTTTGGACGTATGGTCAAGAAACAGGCTATTGCTGCAGTGGAACGCGTCGGGGCTGCGCCATCCGTCTCTGTGTAAGTGAAACGTCATGCTGAGAACCGCTGAACCCATGGCCAACTCCTATGAATGTCTGAGGCTTGACAGGTCTATCCATGAGTTGGACGAGTACGCGGCAGTGCTCTGCATGTTCTTCAACTCAACACGGAGCATTGGTACGAGGGTATTGCGCAGCGATGCACAGCTTTATGAACTGACTGTACGGGATTACATTGTGCAGAGAATCTACTTGGACTGCGAGCAGAAGCTGACGGAACCCAAGAACAAGTGAACGACCCCAAGGCGGAAACGGAAAGCTCCCAGCTGGACTCTGCCACTATGAAGAAGCTGGAAGATCTCGGTAAGATGCGCTGGCTCTGTGCTCGTTACAGCCGAACGAACATGTACTCACGTACCCTTGCATGTACCCATTCACTATGCAGCCATCTTCTTGGATGAAGTTGTCATCGAGCTTGTGATGCGCGATGTCCACAGTCTGCTGGATCTTTATATGCGAAGACTAACTCGACAGTTCGGCGAGTTTACCGTGGAGCAGGCAGTTCTCAAACGTCACCCGTCGATATCGGCGTAGGATAATGCACTTCAACTTGAATGAAATGGCTACATTTTCAGATCTGTACAGTATACGCTCAGTACTACAGTATTCAATACACTAAGTACGATGCGTAATCTACCGATCATTGATGTCGTCGAGCAGGAAGAAGTCGAGGAAGAGCTCGTCCTCGCGGCGGCACGACGCTCCAGCGGGCGAGTGGAAGCAGTACACGTCTCCCGACGGACATCCGTACTACTACAATACCTTAACTAAGGAGAGCAGATGGGAGCCACCCGTCCAAGAGGAGCCTGTGCGTCAGAAGCATCGACGTCCTAAAGGAAGTCGCCACCTTGACCTAAATGAAGCAGACTCTGTAAAACAAGAGCCCCTTATTCAGAATGAAGTGCCTATAGTCAAGGAAGAGAAGAAGACGCGCCCCGAGAGTCGCAAGAGCGTGGCCGAGGAAGCCCCCAATGGTGCCATGAAACCAAAGAACGCCATGTTCCAGAAGCTACAGGCGTCGCTCGAGGGCAAACTTAATGGCCCCATGATGGGGATGGGGAGACCACCTCCAATGCTTAATATTAGGCAGAAAGAGGAGGTTGCGGAGGAGATTAAGACGCCGTCATTAGAGGATCAGTACGAGGCCGAGACGTCCGGTATGAGTGCAGCCGAGCGACTGCGTTTCTTGAGGAAGAAGCGACAGGAGAATATGATGAATAAGAGGGAGAGCGTCGCTGGAGACGACTTTATGGCTGAAGTGGCCAACAATATGAAGAAGAAGGGGGTGACAGTCAAGTCCAAGGAGAAGCAACCGAAATCGACCTGGGGGGAACAGGCGGAAGAGCAACGGAAGCGACAGCAGATGCAGGAAGAGATGGAAGCCAAGGCGCAGGAAGAGGCGAGGAAAGAGCGCGAACAGCAGGCAGAAGAGTTGGAACGGCGACGAGAACAGGAGCGCGCGGAGCAAGTAGCAATAGAACAGCAGCGTCAACTGGAACGGAAACAGCGACAGGAAGAAGAGAACGGGAAGACAGAGGAGGGCGCGAGAGAGGTAGAGGAGAAAGGAGACGATGCCGAGCTTGTAGCAGACCTGGACGCCTCTGGATCAGGTCGTCAGAGCGTGGAGGACACGTCGGCTGTGCCAATTGACGAGGACTCCGGTGTATCTTCACTTGAACATGAGGCGCGTACGAGGAGTCGAAGTCGAGGGAGCAAGCACAGCATCTCAACTGTCTCTGATTCGATTAAACAACTGGAGGGAGACGACCAGTCTGCAGTCGAAAATGGACACAGCGTGAAGTCGGAGGCTGCAGAAGACTCCGTACAGGAATGTGCACGTGAAGAACGACGGGCCCGGAGACAGCGCAAAAAGGAGTTGGCTGCTGCAACTGCAAGCTCGGTGACATCGGAATCACCGCGGCGTAAGTCCGTGTCCAGCTCAAGTGGACAGAACGAGGAGCCCAGAACCCGCTCAACTAGTAGCGTCGAGGCCGAAGAGGAGACGAGAGCGAGAGAGAAGCAACTGCGTCGTGAGCGACGGCGGATGGCAAAGATGGAAGCAGCATTAGCTGCCCAGCGCTTGGAAAGTGACGACCAAGCCAAAATCCAGCACGAGCATCGCTCAGAGAAGCTTCCTGATAGCCACAATGGCTCAGCTGCTGGTCCAAGTCACGCAGGAGGCTACTCCATGAATGGACAACCACTTCCTGGCCAGACAGTACCAGGGCAACCTCCTTTCAGTAATGGAATGTACCCCCAATACCCGTACGCAATGATGCCGCCACCGCCGCCTTCCCCGTATGGATATTACTATCCATACATGCAGCCACCTCCCATGCCAATGCCCATGTACCCTCCGAGTATGGTACCACCAGGTTATCAGTTAATTCTCCCAACACCTCCACCTTCGGCGGACGGGATGGCAGCATTGGTACCGTACGGTGGAGATTCTACGCTGTTAAGTGCGTACGGAGTGAATGTTGGAGGCGTATATGGTCACCAGTCTGCTCCTGAGTTGAGCAGATGTGATTGTTGTAAGGGAATTGGCGTTGGGCTTGTGGAGAAGAACGGATTGTGCGCGCATTGCAACCGACTTCGTCTCGCTTTCATCGTCGACTCTGCTCAGATGCGACAGCGTTGCTCTTTGTGTGGCGGATGGGGCTTCCAACTGCTTCAGGCGAATGGGATGTGCGAGCACTGCGCTCGACGAAAGGCCCAGGTGAAGCCACGACGTCGCAGTGCTACAACCCCCGTCGCTGCAGCTCCACCTCGACAAAGTTCAATGAAAAACGCATCCAAGAGCAATGGGCTGGATGACGTTGACTGGGATAACTCTGCTTCCGAACTTTCTGACTGGGACGATTAAATCCCTCCGTGTAAGTAAAAATATAGAGAATTCGGAAGAAAAAAACCCCACTGAATTGGGACGAGGAGATCTGTTTTCTTCTCCGAGCACTATGATGCACCAAGACAAGAAGCAAAAGTCCACACGCGCATTAGCGGTGCATCCTCAATTGGGTCGTCCAAGTATTGACACGTCCGAGTGGCCGTCGTTCCCTGTACTCACTGCAGTTCGTTTAGTGTGTCAAGAGCGTCTCCACACGGATGGAACCGGCAGTTTGCTGCGAGTGATTGATTCCTTTCTGGATAGTTTCTCTAAAGTGTGGACATTGTCGACCGGGTACAAAAAGTCGAATGGAAGTCTGCGGTTTCTGCAGTATCTCGCTGCTCGTGAGTCGAAGACGATGGACCCGTTTCTGCGACGATGGGAAGTGAACTGCGTCACGGGGGAAATGGCGGCACGTGGGGATCTACGCAGCCTGAAGTGGGTCATTGAAAAGTATTTACCAGGCGAGTTCCTGACAGAAGTTGTAGCTCAAGCGACGACGAATGGCTCCTTGGAAATTTTGCAGTATCTATGGGATAATTATCGTGAAATTGGCTACTGGGGGGGAATTGAGTTGGTCGGAGCGATTCGAAACAAGCATCACGAGTTGGTTGACTGGATCAAAGCTCATGTTGTTCTTCGATCCGTGTGTGCTCAGCACGTGATAGAACATGCAGCTGCGTATGGCAACGTGGAGGTTGTGCGCTGGTTGTGTAAAGATTTCGGTGTGGGGATAGCTGAGGCTTTGAGTACAGCAGCTCGGAGCGGTGAGTGGGAGGTACTACGCTGGCTTGTGACAACGCAAGTGGTGGAGAGTGATGATCCCGATCCAACACTCCTCGATGTCAAAATTTACGTATGCCCCGCTCTCGACGGTAATCTGGACATGCTTAGGTTTCTGTTCGACTGTGATCTAGTCCGAGACCCTGTGGAGGCTCTCGAATTGGCTGCTGCTCATGGCCACCTGCACATTATCAAGTGGCTTCATGAGGAAGAAGGGATAGCGAGTGTTGGGGAAGCCTTTGGCATTGCTGCGCAGAACGGCCATATAGAAGTGCTGAAGTACTTGGACGAGAAGAAGCTTAGCTCTCCTAACTCAACTCATTTCATCTTGGATGCTGCTGCTGGGTCGGGAGCTCTCGAGATTGTTCAATGGCTTCATTTTAACACGCAAGCCCGGTGTACACATCGTGCTATGGACGATGCTGCGGGTATGGGGAATCTTGAAATTGTGCAGTGGCTCCATGACACACGTACAGAAGGATGCAGTGTCTTTGCAATGCACTATGCAGCGCAGAATGGCCATTTCGAGACGGCGAAGTGGCTTCATTCAAACAGAAGCGAGGGGTGCCACGTTCTGACAATGAAGATGACCGCAGAGCGCGGTAATCTAGAGATGGTGAAGTGGCTTCACGCTAGCAGACACGAGGCTTTCAATCTAGACGGAGTCATGGACACTGCTGCTGCACTCGGAAATTTGAGTATTCTACAGTGGTTCCATGAAAATCGTGACGAAGGGTGCACAACTTTAGCAATGGATCAGGCTGCTGGAAATGGGCATCTCGGAGTGGTAAAGTGGCTACACGAACACCGCACGGAGGGATGTACTCTAAGCGCAATGAATGATGCAGCCACGAACGGACATTTGGAAGTGGTCAAGTGGCTGCATTGGAATCGGCGTGAAGGGTGTACGACGTTAGCGATTGACGGGGCGGCCGGGAACAGCCATTTGGAGGTAGTGAAGTGGCTGAGTTGCCATCGATCCCTGAGATGCTCACCCTTGGCACTTGAGTTGCTGTTCAGCAAGTCACGACGTCTCGATACCGCAGTGTTTCTCTTTTCGGAGTTCCCAGAGTGTCGTACATTTCGCTTGGCACCTGTGTTTGAGGTTGCATGGCTCGAGATTGTGCAGTGGTTGCTGGCTCGTGCTCCAAGCGCGTTGGGTGGGTGCACATTGAGAGTGAAGGCATGGAATTGGCACGTCGGTGACTGGCTTGGACAGAATGGATGGCGACGAAAGAGTGAGGATAGCGTGTATTCATTCTGGGGGCGTTCATGAAAAATGGAGTGAGATGGCGCTATTAATTCCAAATACACATTTATAGTAGCACTTTTACTGTGACGCAGCCTAGGCACGTGCCAAAAAAATTGGTCGACGAATGTTTGCAGCTTGTTCGAGCACTACAACAGCAAATTTTTCATTGTTGTTGTAGTGCTCGAACAAGTTGCATCATTTTTCGACGAATTCCTCAATTAAGGATTAAGCATGAATAAAATGCCCCAACGAGATGAGCGGTATCCATTTCATCGTAAATGTCTTTAGCAGCTAAGTAGTTTCCATCCGACTTCAAGTAGCAACGTGTTTAAACAAATGCCTGAACCCGAAGGTCGCGTTCCAGCAGGTGCGCATTAAACCGATTTGTAATTTAATTTAAATTACTGATTACGCCAATTAAACCGTTTTATATGGCGGTGCTGGTAAAGAATCACAAGGAAAAGTTAACAGAGGAACACTCTCTGGTCAGTACTATACATTTCTGTCACAAAAGCTAAGTGCTAGATGATACATTGAAAATGCTACAGACGGAAACCGAAGAAAACATCCGATCAATTCGATCTTCTCACGCGCTACATCGAGGTAAAGGAGGATGAAGATGCCACGAAGACTGAGCGCATCAAAGTTCGAAATGCAAAGGCAGGGTCTGATTGCGCTGAAGGCGAAGCCATTCGTGACGAAGCGTTAAAGTGCGACAAATCCAAAAAGCCGAATTAATCAGCGGGCAAGATACGCTTAGATCCAGTTGAGCTCTTAAACACTAGTAGAGGACCTCACTCATGTCCATACCGAGCGCCAGTCAGTAAGAATATAAGCTCACTGATCGTGACGTCGAGGCGCATGGTTGCCATTTAAAATATCACTCTTTAGATTTTGTAGTTGTTTCCGTGAATTTTCCCTTTTAGGCAGAGTCACGACCCCAAGCACTCCAGTTAAAAAATTGGTACCACTGGAGCAAGATTCTGGAGCAGCAACAGATAGCTTCAGATCCAAAATAGATCCAAAAACTACAGCTCTCTGTTATGCTTCAGGATGCGGAGCAAAACCAAGCATGTAAGGTTTATAATTTACTAAGTTTTATGACTTTTTGATATTTGTCTGCTACCAAAAAAATGTTTTCCCATCGATCGATAATTATGAGTTCGCCTAGCTTTACACTTCGGTTTTTGCACGAAAGTCAGTTTAACGGAACCAACCAAGCACCCGTTTGCCGAAAATAAGCTCAGCATTCTGACTTTTGCAGCTAAAATTGTAGGCTCAAAGAAGAACCGTGCAGTAAAAAATACTTTTCCCCTACTTCTGAGGTGGCGTGCCATTGGCCTTACTTACGATCACGACATACAGTAGTGTAGTAGCTACCCTGCTATGTATTTCAGAAACGAGTCTTACTAGATATTTAATACTTTTAATGACAGGCAACGTCGACAATAAAGCTGCCATCGCGAAGAAGTCAAGGTGGCCTAAAGCGGTTTGTTCATTTGAATCGTATTAAATTAAAAATCATTAGTTTTTTTAAGAGCTGCGCGAAGCAATTTCCGCTAGCGTTTCTGGTGGACTATGCTGATCGGACGATACAATTTGTCGCGCCCTGCGCTTTAGCCTAGGATGAACTCGCAAAGTGCTGAAAAAGCGAGCCCGCTGAAGCCTTCCTCGAGATCGACGAGAATGTTTATTAAGACTGAGCCCGTTTTATAGCGGACCTGACCAACTTGTGTTTGTAGATGAAACATCAAAAGACGGACGGTAACCCCAGTTTCAGTACTAATATTTCAAGTCTAATTTGCTTATTTGTATAGGTCTGTGCTTCGATGTCGGGGATGGTCAGCTCGCAGCACATCTGTGAACATGAGTATTACTTTCTCTCGAAGAGCGTGCGCCTCAGTTCTAGCTGCCATGGACGTCACTGGGTTCTTTGCGTGGGGAATACCGATGATACTTTTACGATGCCCAATTTCCACAATGGTTTCAAGAGCAAGGTATCTCCCTTTTTCAATCCATGACCCATACCACGCTCAATTGTTGTACTTGACAACGCCAAGATCCACGTGTAGCACGATCCTCAAGATCTAACCCACGCTTCTGGTGCTTTGTTTTTGTTGTGCCAAAGTATATATCGGTTTGTATGCTACCAATTGAGGTAATATGATAGGCTAAAAGAAATGTAAATCAGCTCTTATTGTACCGATGCGAGGTCTGGTGGCGGTCTCGAGAAGTTTAACGACAAGTCCTACACAATGTGGAAGGACAAGCTACTTGCGCACGTCAACCAACTGGACCACGTGTACTAAACGAAGCAGCTTGAGAAGAGGCACCCTGAAGCGAAGGTGCTGACGACTGACTTCCTCAGAAGCAACCCTGAAAGCCGGCGTCGCCGACCACCGAAACCGCCACAGAAGAGGCGTACGCAATGCGGTGGGAGGTGATAAATTGGACAAGGGCAAGGGGAGATCTCCAGAACCTGTTAAATCAGGTTCTTCATAACTCCTTTTTGTCAACCCTACCGGATGAGGTTTCCTCAATGAATCCATGTGAGGTATTCGACATCTTAAAAAGGATTTTGGGCAAGGAGATGCAGCCGGCCTCATTGAGTTAACGAGAGCCTGGTCTAAGTTGGCACGCACTCCTTGGTGCGACTGAAGAACTGTGTTCGCGCAACTTAAAAAAAGCAAAAATGAGATTAATAGGAAGTCTCGCAAGCTTTTGGGGCAGGACATGGTGACAGAGCCGTGTCTTTGCGTTTAAGTGCTGTCTCAGCTGCCCAGTGAGTTTTGGGCATTCTCAATTTCAATGAAAAAGGAGGACTTTACCGTGGATCAGGTGGAAAGTTCGTTGCGCCGGATTTTCGGGGACAAATCGAAGAAAGAGGTGGGACTTACGGATAAGTCCCAGGCAGTTACTTGTAACAATGTGCGGGTCAAGCAGGGTGCAAAGCGAAAACCCAGTGGAAATGAAGGTGAAAGAAGTTGTTTTTACTGCTTCCAAACGGGCCACTTCAAGCCGGAATGTCCCCAAAAGTTGGCTGACAGAGACCCAAATCGAGCAGGTGGACCCCTATTTAGGACTGACGTCAACACTGCGCTGGGGGCTAAGAAGGCTACAAGGGCCAAGACAACTGCGGCTAACACGATTAGGGCAATCATGAGTGAAGGTATGGAGCGCCTAAAAGTGGGTTAGAGGACCTTTTTGGAGAAATGTGCTGAAGATGAGGACATCGACGACATTGAAAGCTTGGACCCAGCGCACCATGAGGGTTTTAAGGATTGCGGCAAGTCAGCAAAGACACCGCCCCAGTCGCCTCAAACTATGGATGGCATTCAAGCAGAGGTAAGTAAACGTTATGCCTCTTATTTGAGCGTGTTAGAAAGGCTTACTCTAAAGGATGATATGTGGGTGGTTGATACTAGTGCAGGTCGAGCTATAACACCAGACAGAGACTGGCTTAGAGGGGGCCTCCAACCTGGCCAGAGCCACACATTCACCTACGGTAATGGATCCACCTCTCACAGTACACTTAAGGGATCAATAAAACTACATGTTTTGAACCCTAATAGGAGGTTGAGTTCTGTAACATTAACTGATATATCATATGACCAAACGTGCGATAGCAATTTGTTAAGTGCATTATATCTGACTAAACAAGGCTACAATCACATCCAAGCAAAGTCAGGACCGTTTTTGTTCTTTTTAGTAAAATACAGTAAACTTCTCTTCGCAGCAGTAGCAAAAGATGAGGTTTACTACTTGCCGAGTGTAAAGCCATCGAAGACGAGTGTATTTAGTGCTTAAAGTGGAAAATTGGGTGATATCCTCAAAGAATGGCACTTTCGATTAGTCCATGTCGGTAAAGAGAGGCTAATTAGGAGTATGAGTAACCAGAAAATTGAGGGTTGCCTACTCTGAACTCAATAAAGTACCCTCCTTTTGTAATACATGTGCCCACATGAGGGACGGCAGGATGTCATAAAGAAATATGATCAGAAACAGGGCTACCGAGCCTCTGCATACGTGCATATGGCTCAACCAGAAGGATAAGAGTAAACGGTCTTTATGGGTCGTTTGGCTATCACTATGCGTTAGCAGTTGTCGATGATGCAACTGCCTATAAGCGGTATATTGTAGTCAAGTGTCTAAAAGAGGTACCGGGTAAAATAAAAACTCTGTTAAAACAGTTGTCAGTCCAATTTCCGTCATTTCAGGTACGCCTAATTAGGACTGACGGAGGCTCAGAATTTATAAATAAGGAGGTATCTAAACTGTGCTTAAAACTCGGATTGGTATTTCAGAGTTCAAATGTAGAATCTCAAGAAGAAAACGGTAGTGCAGAGAGGTCACACCAGCCCTTGATGGCCGGGGTCCGCTGTGCGTTAAGGGGTGTCAATATGGCTGCTAAGTGGTGACTGGAGGCCTTATTATACATTGGGGACATCACTAACCGTCTACCTATGGCTAGACTTGGGATGAAGACCCTTTATGAGCTACTGCACCGTAAGAAACCACATGGTTTAGCATTAAGATTATGGGGCTCTACATGTTATGCACATGTTCCCAAATCTAAACGAAAGGACCCACACCTAAGTGAAAGAACCATAGAGTGCAAACTTTTAGGACTTTCTCCTAAATATAAGGGATACAGGCTGTTCGATGTACAAGCTAACAAATACTTAGAAGCTCGAGATGTTAAATTTTATTTAACTGGTACAGACGCTATGATTAAGCGATCATTTCCTACTGAGGATAGTAGTAATAATACACAAGAAGAGAGTATTATTCACAATTTAGGAAAGCGATCTAGAAGTAATATCGAAGTTGTAGCGGCAACGCCTGTTGAGTCCAGAAGCTCACGGCCACCGAGATCCCAAACTATGGGAGTACAAAACAGGTCACAAAGTGACATACGTAGGTCAAAACGCCAAAAGATACCGAACGTTCGGCTCAGAGATTATGTCACACAGCTACATGCTGTAACGGCTAACATGCCTAAAATACAAATTTCGAAATCGATAAAAGAGGCTCGATCTAGTCCACATGCTAAGCAGTGGGAGTGTGCTATTAAAGCTGAGTATGATGCACTTTTAAGTAATTATACATAGGAGGTAGTACCTCTTCCAAAAGGACGAAGGGCACTTGGCTGCCATTGGCTCTTTGATATTAAATACAATGTTGTGGGTCTGTAGATCGCTTTAAAGCTCGGCTTGTAGCTCAAGGAAATACTTAAATGAATGGTATTGATTATAAAGAGATATTTGCTCCCGTAGCTCGATATGAATCTTTGCGGCTTCTGCTCGCATGACTACAATTCGAGGACGGTATTTACATCAAATGGATGTATCTACTGCATTTCTAAACGGTGTTTTAAGTGAGAGTATATACATGAGGCAACCGCTAGGATTTCGTGAAGGCGACGGAGACCTAGTATGTAAGCTGCTCAAAAGTTTGTACGGCCTAAAACAGGCCCCTAGAATTGGGTATGGAGTTTTCAATGAATTCCTTAAAGATTAAGGCTTTTTTAGATGCAAGAGAGAGCATTGCTTGTATCAAAAACGGTGGGAGGAAGAAGGGGTCCAACACGTACTTATTATGTGCGTGTATGTTGACGACCAAGCAATTGCAGCTCTATTAACGATCTTAAGGTTAAACTGCCGGCAAAGTTTACAATGAAAGATTTAGGCGAGTTGCACTATTTGCTGAAAATGAAAATTAAAAGGGATCTAGAAAAGGAAACATTACGTTTGTCTCAAAAGAAATATATCAATGATCTTTTGCATAATATCAGATGCGAGACTGTACTACAGCCCCAACACCACAAGCTAAAAGTGTATTACTAGCAAAGGAAAAGGCTCTAACACCACAGTAGATAGCAGCTCAACCGTTTGGCTATAGTGGTCTAGTCACGTCATTAATGTATTTTGTACGACGCACTAGGCCTGATATTGGTAACGCTGTTAGGGAGCTTAGTAAATATCTATTTTGCTATAATAAGACCCACTGGAAGGCGGCCCAGCGAGTACTAAAGTACTTGAAAGGAACGTCCTTAGAGGACAATGGAAATATTGTACTATAAAGGTAGAGCTATACACAGACGCGAGCTTCGCGAATGCTAATGAAGAAAGAAAGTCTATTACAGGATATGTATCATTACTAGCTGGTGCTTGCATCCCGTGGAAAAGTATTAAGCAAGATTGTATTAGTCTTAACACAGCAGAATCGGAGCTTGTAGCTGCTAGTGAAGATGTAAGAGAAGCTATATGGTTACGACTACTATTACAGGAGTTAGGCTACGGTCGAGTACTACCAACACATTGTTGGTGTGATAATACTGCAGCAATAAGTATTATTAAAGATCCGTGCAGTCATTCATCGATTAAGCACATTGATATTAGGCATTTTTATGCCCGCGATAAGCATGAAGAATATAGTATTAGTGTTTCTTACTGTAACCTTAACGATATGACCGCCGATGCATTAACAAACCGCTAAGTCAAGGACAGTTTGAAAAGCTTCGTTACATGATGGGGGTTAAGGATATAGGGCAGTAAATCGGCGTACCCCAAATAAGTTTAAGGTCCCCTCAAATAAAGGTGGTTAAACTCAAGTAAGGACATTGATATAATGGGAAGATAACACAAGGTCAAAGTGGAAAATCAAAATAAAGTTACAAACTCCACTTGAAAGTTAGCAAACAAATTCAGCTGTAAGGGCAATTTGAGGACTAAAGGAAAACGTTAAGGATAAAACATTGCTTTTAGTGCAGACCTAGCCCTAATATTGGCATTTGGGCATGTCCGGGCTATCAGCCCCTTACTCCAGAGTACGTTTTGACTCTATTTAAAGTGAATTTTACGCTTGACTCGCTAATTGCCACTACAAGAGGTACAAATGATCAATGACTGGACGCCCACGAGTTGCTGAATGATCAGACTTCCCCCTTGCAGTGCCCCTCATGAGCAGTTGGTGGTCCGTTGGATGCCAAAAGGCCGGGACCATTAAGGCCTCTGTGGCTTTGACCAGACCGCTGTTGCGAGGAAGAGTACAAGTGGTTTGTGGGCGCCCCCCGGAGGTCGGGACCAGTACTTGCGTAGTATGGAGGCAAAATTGAGAGTGAGAGGGCTCGACAGTTGTCGGCACCTCCAGAAACAGGTTTAAAATGAGGCAAAGTATTGAATCTGGATTTGGGTTCATTTCATTAAATTGGGCATTCTTCCAAACATCGTGGTTAATACAAAAGTTTTAATTCGGTATTTTTAAAATCGGACTTTGGGATTGTGACACGGAAATAAGCATGAAAGATCTGAGAACATGGTTAAAGTCGCACTCTCCAAGAAATATTGGAAGAAGGATTGATGGACAATGCTAGCTCTTTAGTGGGAGTGTTGTGCCAAAGTATATATCACTTTGTATGCTACTAATTAAGGTATTAGATAGGCTAAAAGAAATGTAAATCCGCTTTTATTGGCTAAGACAGTATATGCACTAACAGCCAGCCAAAGGAAAAGAGGCCAGCGTTGGCCACCAAAAGGGAAAGCCGAGGGATGTTACGGAGAGATGGCACGTGCCATCGCACTTTCCAATTACTGACGGCATTACAACTCAACTACTCGTCCGACACAACAGCTTTCTGCCACCTTACGCGCCCGACATAAGCCTAATCAAACTTGGGTTTATACTGCTAAAGCGATGTCTCCAGCGCCACGCCAGCCTGGCGCGTCACGAAGCCCCCGAACACGTACTGAAGGTTGCGATGCACTTCTGTACAAAGCGTAGTGAAACAGGTGGTTTAATCCTCTACAGCCACTGCGGTTATTATAACCTTACCCTCGGTTTAGGCTCTTCACCAAAGCGCTAGTTGTCTTCGGCTGTATCTTTATAATCATTATCTTCCGTATATTGAGCCGGATCCGGCGTTTCCGAATCACGATGCTCTCGAAATAGGGGTAGCAAATTATAATCAGGTAGCTCAAGTGTATCCCGTAAATTCGGCGCTTTTATATATATGGGTACGACTACGCCATGAGCGCGAGCTCGGACGAGCCAATATTTTCCAGCAGCTTGCCGTTATCGTTGCGTAGTCTCCAGCTTGGCGGCTTGGCGGTCTATGAGCCGCAATTGGCGAAATGTAGCATTATCGAGTCCAGATGTGGGCGCTTCTTCAGGTAATCGAGCATGCCTAACGGCTGCGTAGTAGCTGGGCCGCATTTCATTTGGTTTTGCCGCATGTAATCAGCAACTTGAGGTAGCTGCTCCTGGATACGAGCGTCTGTAGGTCGTCGAAGGGATTTTATGCGTTACACACGTGGTCGAGGAACGTACACGAAAAGCCGCAGCTCAAAGCTGCATGACCATTCTTTCGTGGGCGTGCTTTATGTCATACAACTTCCAATTGACTTTGAGGTCTTCTGGCCCTTCAGACGGCTGCACGTACTT